GGTCTGGACGCTGTCCCTGAGCTCTTCAGCTCAAAGCAAGTACTCTACCATTTGAGCCACAACGCCACTTCTGTCTTCTGGTGGTTAACTGGAGATAAGAGTCTCACAGATTTTCCTGCCTAGGCTGGACTTGAACTGAGATCCTCAGATCTCAGCCTCCTGAGTAGCTAGGATTACAGGTGTGAGCTACCAGCAACCAGCTTTCATCGAGTCTTTAAGTGCTTCTCTACAACAGGATTGCCAGACTAGGCATTGTGTGCAGCTCAGCGCAGCAGGCTGAGGCGGGGGGATCGCGCAGCATGGGCTGCACAGCCAGACACCGTCTCAAATGCGAAGAACGTGAAGGGCCGCGATGGTCGAGAGCACTGCACTCACACCGACACGATCAATTGGAAAAACGAATTAAAGAAAGAATGTTTACTTTCCTAATTAAAAACCAGTTTGTAAGCTTGGAGGAGCCCCATGCAAAATGAGCGGCCTATTTTCTGACCCAATCAGAACCATGGAACTGTGGGGCGCTAACATCTCCAAAAACAAGTGCCAGGAAAAGTATTGGGTGTAATTCTCTGACACGCGCCGCTCGGAGCAATTGTGATAGCAGAGTTGGTATTGTATAATAATAAAAGAGATATGTGCTCTCATTTAAAAAAAAACCACTCATCCCTCATGCCAACACTTCTGGACACGCTGCTAACATTTTTTGGTCCATTTCTTTCCATGGTTCTTCTATAAGCCATGCTGAAATCCCACACTACACGGAGCTTTATGTGCCCACATTTAATTGGCACACTAAAAATCACTAAATTAAGGTCAGAAAAGCATTTTCTGCCCATCTGCTACTTTTAAACACTGCATTTCATTTTACACTCTGGGGGATAAATACTCACTTTATTGTACTGAGCTTGTGCATACAGGGTGCGTAGCTGCCAAAATGATCTTCAGAAAATATAAATTAAATCATGTCACAAACGTATCTCAAAACCTCCCAGGGCCCCTCCAGCCTCAAAAGCCAGCCCTCCCCCATGAGCCACGCCTGCCTTGCTCAACACATCCCCTGCCACACTGGCCTCCTTCCTGTCCCTCTCACTTCCACCGGGGCACCTTTGTGCTGGCTACCCCACTGCATGCAGCTTCCTGTCTGGGCCCAACCTTTCCCTTCATGTCATCCTGGTATTGATGTAAATACAGCCCCTTGGCGAGACTGCTCCTGTTCACCTCATCTGAAACAGCCCTTGCTCCTCCATTACACCCTGTAATTTTATTTCTATATTTCACTTTTTTAATTACGATGTCTTTCATCTCTAGAACAGGGGAGCATGACCTCTGTCTGTCTAATTCACCATTTTCTCCAGTACTTAACCCACAAGTGCATGGGCTGAGTGTAGGACAATGGAGGAAGTAACCCACTTTAGCAGGCCGGACTGGCCAGGGGCCCCTGACGGACGATCTCTAAACTAGGTCATGTGGGCCCAAAGCTCCCGCCAGCCACCCCGGGGAGGGGGAAACACCAAAAACTCCTCCTGGCTCCACCCAGACCTCGCTGCTACCCAGACCCAAGCCTCCCATCCCTCGGCACCCCTCATCTGCTAACAGTCCTGCTGCTGTCCCTTCTGAGGACAGGGATCCCCAAAATCCACGTCACCATCTCCTAGTATGACTTCCCCGCCCCCACCCCGACCCCAACCACAGCCTCTCCTCATCCTAACCACCTTCCAAAAACCTAACCTGAACCTGAGCTCTGGGCACCCCGGCAACGCCAACCGTGCTGAAGAACCGGGCAGAAGGATAATGGGATGCTGAGAACACCACACACCTCCATGGCTTACCACTGGAGGAGCCCATGGGCCATCCTTGCCATGGGACTCTGGCCTGCGCTGTCCTGCCGGTGGTCTGTCCCTGCCTCTGTGTGCCCCCTGCAGCCCCGATGGTCACCACATCATTGTCCCCTGGGGAGAAATAGGGGTTCCTGGGCACAACCAAAGGATCCAGCCCCCCCTGCCCCTTCTCCTGCTCTCCCTTGCCTACGGCTTTAAGCTCTAGGAACATCAAACACCAGCTCCTTCATCCCCCCCCCCCCGCCCCCAGGCCTCTGCCCTCTGCCCCTGCCTCCACACACTGAAGCACCCACTCCCACCCAGCTAGTTCACCAGCACCCGTGGCTTGTCACACAGCCCCTGTGCCCCCCAGGCATGCTGACTGCGTCTGACACGCCCCCCCATCTGCACACGTTACAGCAGCCCATGACAGCCCATCCATCTCCCACCCCACGACCAGCACGCAGTGAGTCCTTGCTAGTGTTCTGATTAAAACTACAATTCACGCTGAACCCCAGTTGCAGGCAACAACCGCACCCTAGTTTCTTTCTTCCTAATCACATCCAGAACCGGTCAGATGGAGGACCAGGCCAGTGTGGCGTGGAGGTTCCAGGAAGCCCAAGCATGTCTCCTCGGACCCCCTGCACAGAGGCTTCAAGCAAAGGGAGGCAATGCCACCTGCAGCAGCCAGCATGGGTGCACACAGCCGCGTTCACACAGGGCCTCTGCAGAGTCAGTACCAGCAATGGGAATGAAACAAAAGCCTTTGACCAAACCAAGCTGGGCTCAGGGCTCCACAGGGCCCCAGTGAGGGCTGGGAGGCAGCTGCCTCTGGCTTGGGACTCTGCATCCCAAGCAACAGCAACAGCCACAGCCTCGGAGATATAGATTCACTCAACAAACATAGAACACCACACTGCGTGACTGACGCTAAGCCAGGCCTCGTGGGTGAGAGGTCACCACAATTGGTTCAGACCTGAGCAAGCACCGGGAAGGAACCCAGGCCCAACCTCAGACGCAGCCCTAACACCCAGCCAGGTCCGCATGCAACTGCCAAGTCTGGAAACTCGAGGGAGCTCCAGTGGGAAGGGTCTGGCCCACAAGGAGAGTCCAGAAAGGTCTTCTTCCATAATTACTGCGAGCTAGGCTTTTCTCACAGAAAGAACTAGTGCCTCCTCTGCCAACCATCAAGTAGCTGGTGCACACAGCCAGCTGTGGGGTACACACTGGTAACTTCAGATACATGGTGGCAGAGACAAGAGGATCCCAGATTCAGTATCCACCCTGGGCAAAGTTAGTGAACTTTGGTCTCAAAAAAAAAAAAAGAAAGAAAGAAAGAAAGAAATAATAGGGCAGACGTCCTGTCCCAAGTGGCAGAGTGTTTGCCCAGCGTATGTGAAGCAGGAGATTTGATTCCAAACACCACACACACACATGCACGCATGACTATATGCTCATATTCACACACATACGCACATACGCATACATGCTCACACACACGCAGACAGGCTACGTGCTTCTCCATGGAACCAGCTGAATGAAGTATTTTCCTTCTTTAAAACAACCCGGGTCCCAGGCTTTGCCAGGACCTGGTGGCACTGGTCATGGGACTCTTGGGCACCTTGGTGGTCAGATCTCTGCTCTCCTACAAGGAAACCCCTAGAGGTAAGAATTTCAGGGTTTCGTCTGGACAGGTGCCCCACGACCAAGCCTGGCTCCTTAAACATGGGGGGCCATTGTTCCCCACTACCTGGCAAGGGGTAACATTCTTCCCAACTACTGGCCAACCCCACCAACCTCAGGCACCCCTAGACTGGGGGTGGAGGGGCATCCACTGCCTGACGGCTAGCCAGAATGTATGTGATGAGCCAGAAGTGCATGTTAATGGAGAAGGTGTGAGACTAGGGAGGGTCGGAATGGGCCTCCACCAACCTCAGGGACTCTGGTAGCAATTAAGCCAAGGTAGGGCTGGACTGCTGCTCAGGGGTGAGGGGCTGCGGCTGCACAAAGCCCGGGGACCTGCCCAGCACCAGCACCGCAGAGCAACAGCAAGCCCTCCCATGCCTGTCCCCAGCATCCCTTCCTTTCCTTATTATCAAAAATAAATAAACACCAACACGCCCATCAGGAGAACGAGATTTGTGCTCCTGAGAAAGCTGGTGTGAGCTGAGGTCACCTGCGGACCCCACAGCCCACTCCCCAGCCGTCAGGAAAGGGCCGGCCAAAGTGACCCCTGGAAGTCAGTCGGTGCATAAGGTGGAAACCCCCCCCTTCCTCCCCAGGAAGGTCATTTCAACTCCACTAACCAGTAAGGCCACTCTAGACTGCAGATCATTACTAATCACACCCCAACGCGGGCCCGGAAAGCCTCTTTTGTCATTTTTTTCATAAAAGCAGAATCAGCACCTGGGGAAGGTGCACTGGGGGCAAAGGGCCTGGGTCCAAGAAGGACGCCCTCTCCTACCCCATCCCTTCCTCTCCGGTGTCCTCTTCCTTGCCCTCCCCTCTCTCCCCTCCCTTGCACTCCCCTCTCCCCTGCCCTCCCCTCTCCTCCCCGCCCTCCCCACTGGACCACCGCGAGGTGGGCTCCACGGTGGGCGCACGTGGCCGCTCCCGGCCGGCTCAAACTACCTGCTGCTGCCGGCGCCCCGCGGCCAAGTGGGGCCAAGTCGGGAAGTTCATCCCCGCCGCGGGCCGGGAGGCACCGGACCCGGATCCGAACCGCAGGGACACGCGGAGCGCGGGCGGCGCGAGCGCGCGGGGCTTGGGGTCCGGGTCCCCGCGGGGCCGCCCAGGCCTCCCGGGCTTCCCGCGGCGCGCGCACCCCGCGCCGGCCGGCGGCTCCCCGGGCGCCGGGGCTGCCGGCGGGGACCCCGGCCTCCCCCGACCCCGGCCGCCATGGCTCGGCCGCGGGGGCCCGGATGGAGCGGGAGGCTTCCACGCGCGGCGCTGCGGCTCCTCCACCCCCACGCACCGAGGCTCGGCCGGCCGGGACCCCGGTGGGGCCGCCCGGGATTCCGGGTCAGCCCGCGCCCCCCCGCGCCGCGGACCCGAGCCGGGGAGGACGCGGGGCCCCGGCGCCCCCGGCGCGCTGGGTGCCGGCATCGGTGCCAACAGGTTCGGAAGGCGCCGTCCGCAGCCCGGGGACCGGGCCGGGGACCGGGACGGGGAGGCGGCGCCACTCACCTCTGGCCGGGCCGGAGCCCCGCAGCCCGGCCGCCGGGCGCCTCCGCGGCGCGGGGCGCTGCTTCCTCGGCTGGGCGGCGATGGAGGCGCGGCGGGCGGCGGCGGCGGCGGCGACGGCGGCGCGGGGCCGCTCACACCCCCCGCATCCTCGCGGCCGCGGCCCGGCGCGGGCCCCGGGTGGCTGGCGGCGTGGTGCGGGGCGCGGCCCGCCGGTCCTCGTCCCCCGCTCCGCGCTACCCCTCCCGCGGCCTCGGCCCGCGCGGGCTCAGCCCATGTGCCCGGCCGCCCCGCGGCGCCCCGGAGCCCCGTGGCCGAGGCCCCGCCGGAGTTGCGCGCCCCGGAAACTCCATGCAGCCCGGGCCTCTCCCCGGCTCCGCCCCGCCGGGCCCGGTCCGCGCTCCGCGCCGCCGCGGGCCAGACCCGCCCGCCGTCCCCGCCCGCGGCTCCCGGCGCAACCTGAGGAACGCGGCGCGCGCGCGCGCACGGGCACACGTGGGCGCACGGGCACGCATGCACACGCGCACACACGTGTACATGGGCCCATGTGTGCACGCATGGGCGCACCCGGCGGACACACGCGCGCACGTGGGCACACATGTGTGCATACTCGCGCGCACATGGGCACACACTGCGGGCACACGCGCGCGCCGGCCTCCTTTCTTTCCCCGCAGGGCCGCCGCCCACGTCCACCTGCGGCCGCCGCCCCTCGGTGTGGGCCCAGCGACCCCCGCTCCGCTCTTTAGCCTGCGCGCCTCTGCACCTGCGTGGGGCCCAGGGAAGCAGGTGGACTGGCAGGTGCTAACACCCGGAGGGAGCTCCAGAGGGCTCCGGCCACCCGGGCACCATGCGGGGAGGGGCAGCCGCGGATGGACCTGGGAGCCCATCCCGCCCTGGGACCGCCCTCCTCCAAGGTCATGGGGCATCTGCCAAGAGGAGGAGGTTCGGACCAAGCCTGAGCTAAACACACTCCACACTGCCTGCGGCTGCCCAGCCTGACCCCTGCCGGCCCCACCACACGCCCCCTGACTCCTGCCACCCCACACCACACAGACTTTCTGTATCCCCAGCCCCAGCCTTCAGGGCCTCAGTGAGTCTGAAGGTCCCTTTTCTGGCTGCCTCCCCCATGCCCAGATGCTGACTCCATACACAGCACCACTAGGAGCTGTCTCATCAAGAAGAGGAATCAGACATCAGGTGGGATCTCTGCTGCCCACGGGCCCGGGAAAGCCAGGCCGCCTTTAGGCTGACCTCCTCTCCTAGGCCCCCAGGGGCAGAGTCTGCTCCTCCTCCCCCCTCCCCCCGCCCAGTCCTAGAACCAAAGAAGAGAGATTTGAGAGTCGCCCCAGGGAGGGAGCAGGCCAGGGGCCTCCATCCCAGCAGCTCAGCCTCACCTGTCAACCCAAGGGAGACAGGGTCTGGCGCATGTCCCATGCTTTCTGGCTGGAGGCCAGGCACAGCCTCAGATCCCCCCACATACCCCACTCCACCCCTTGGGCCCCAACCTGTGGTGGGTGGCACTGGCCTTCCTTGAGAGCTGGTGCTCAGTGCCTTGTCCAGACCCTGTTCTGCGTGTGCCCTGTGGCCCAGGAATCCCTTGTGATGGCACACGCTGTGTCCAGCTGTGCACACGGCTCACAGCAGCTGACACACAGTAGACACATGGGGGGGGGGGGGAAGGCAAGGATGTTTTCCCCAGAATACCAAGCCCAACAACTTCAAAAACAGAAACCCAGCTAGGCACTAGTAACTCATGCTTGTAAAACCAGCCACCCAGGAGGATGAGATTGAAGGATGGAGGTTTGAAGCCAGCCTGGGAAGACAAATCTGAGAGACTTTCATATCCAATTAACTATCCAAAATCAGGAAGTAGAAGTATGGATCAAGTGGTTGAGTGCCAGCCTTAAGGGAGAAAGCTGAGCGAGCCCCTAGGCCTTGAGTTCAAGACCCAGCACTAGCACACAAAAACATATACATCTATAATTCCAGTAAAAAAAATTTTATTTCTATACATCTGAAGGTGAAATAAAGAGGTTTTCAGGTAAAAAAGTAATAAGAATTTAAATGAATCCATAGCCATCCAACTCAAGAAAATCTCAACCCTAGGACCTGAGAGTAAGACCAAATATGAAATGGCTTGTGTGATTATCTTCAGCTGTCTTTAAAATTACTAGATTAAGAAAAAGCAATGAGATAGAGCAAACTGGACAGATACAGGAGGTTAAAAGGAATAACTGAGAAGATCTCACATCAAAGAAGGAACAATGGCCAAATAACAGCTAGGACAAATAGAAAAAAAGAGGAAAAGGTGATAGATTTAAACTTAAAATATATTGTGACCCTCACTTAGAGATTTTAATGCTATAATTAATAGGAAAAGACAACATGGATAAGATGCACCCATACACTGTCTACAAAAAGACACCATAAACATATAAGCACAAATAAGCTTTGAAAGCACAAGGCTGAAAAAGATAGATTATGAAAAGGGTTCTTGTTCTGGCAGAACTGAGGTTGAACTGAGGGCCTCCCATTTGCTAAGGCAGATGCCCCTCCACTTAGGACTGGAGTTTGAACTTGGAACATGGTGTTTGCCAGGCAGGAAATCCACCACTTCCCCCACATTCCCAGGTTTTGGGGCTCTGGTTATTGCTAAGACAAGGTCTTGCTTCCCTCCCTTCCGCCCCTGGTTGTGGGGCTTGAACTCTGGGCCTGGGTGCTGTCCCTGAGTACTTCAGCTCAAAGCTAGCACTCTACCTATTGAGCCACAGTGCAACTTCCAGTTTTCTAGTGGTTTATTGGAGATAAGAATTTTACAAACTTTCCTGCCCGGGCTGGCTTTGAACCTCGATCCTCAGATCTCAGCCTCCTGAGAAGCTAGGATTACAGGTGTGAGCCACCGGCGCCAGCAAGGTCTTGCTTTTGTCCCCAATTTATATTTTCCATCATGGATGGAGTTTCACAGACTTTTCAGCCCATATTGGCCTAGAAACTCAATCCTCTCCTTCTCAGCCTCCTGTATAGCTGGGATGACAAGAGTGCACCACCAGTGGCCAGACCAGAAAAAGTATTGTTGGAGATGAAGAGTTCATTCAGTGATAGAGGGTCAACTTATTCCTGAGCAACCACATAAGCAGAAAGAGCCAGAAGTGGTGCTCTGGCTTAAGTGGTAGAGCACTAGCCTTGAGCTGAAGAGCTGAGGGACAGCGCCCAGACCCAGAGTACAGGCCCCAGGATCAACCAAAAGAAAAAGAAAATACTAAAATCTAAAGTGTGCCTCTACCGAAGCATCAGAGAACATGAAGAACACACAGAGGAAATGCAGAAAACAAAATCAACAACAATCCTTCAGTGACAGACAAGACATATGACAACACAAGACCTGCGGAACACAACGAAGCAGGTCTGCCAGACTGGCTTTATAAAACTCATTCTGCGGAATCTTCATTAAAATAAACCACATAGTCAGGTGTGGTGACACACGCCTGTAATCACAGTTACAAGGGAGGCTAAGGCTGGGAAATGACCAAACGTCAGTGAAACTCCATCTCAACAGGAAAGAAGCCGGGTGTTGTGGTCCAGGCCTGCTTCCCAGGCACAGTGGGAAGCTCAATGTAGGAAGGGTGTAGTCCAGGCACCTGTGCCTCATGACCAGTCCAAACTACTCAGACGGCTGGGACCTGGGAGACTGAGGCTGGAACCCAGAGGAGGAAAAGTCCAGGGAACTCCAACTCCAAAACAACCATCAGAGAGCCAGACCAGAGTCATGATGCAAATGGCCGAGTGGCTTCCTCACAAACACAAAGCCCTGAGTTCAAACCACAAAGCAAAATAAGAGGGACCACATCTTAGGTCACACCATGATTTGCCATAAATTTTAACATATTAAGATCATACAGAAAATATCCCTTGACAGTAATGGAATTAAATTAAAAATAACAAGAAGATACCTGGAAAATTCCCACAAGATTGTGTGTGTGTGTGTGTGTGTGTGTGTGTCCTGGGGCTTGAACTCAAGGTCTGGGTGCTGTCCCTAAGCCTCTTTGTGCTCAAAGCTAGCACTTTACCACTTGAGCCACAGCACCACTTCCACTTTTTCTGAGTCATCTATTGAAGATAAGAGTCTCAAGGACTTTCCTTGAAGCCAGCTCAGGCTGGCTTCAAACCACCATCCTCAGATCTTAGCCTCCTCAGTAGCTAGGATTACAGGCATGAGCCACCGGTGCCCATCTTTCCCCCAACATTTGATAAACAAAAATAAGTAAATAAATAGTTTTACAGAATGCATGAGGCAAAGAATAAATTAATACAAGGGATAGTTAAAGATCCTCTAAGCAAAATGAAGGTCCATATGTTGAAATTTGTGGGACCAGCCAAAACTGGCTTAAAGGGAAAATTATAGCTTAAAATACCTATTTCAGAAAACATAAGCAATATAAAACCAATGTTCCAAGTCCCTTGACTCAAGAAGCCAGAAAGAGAAAATCAAATTAAATTGGAAAAAAAGGAAGAAAATAAAAAGTAGAAGTTGCCAATAAAATAGGAAATAGACAAACAACCAGTGTGTGTGTGGGGGGGATCAATGGAAAATCTCCAATGAGGCATATATATATATTTATATAAAACATAAGTGGCCAAGGCAAGCCATAGAGGGAAGGCCTAAAATATATTCAAAAGGATGACAAAGGAGTATCATGAATGACTTTATGCCAAAATTGGTAATTAAGACGAAGTAGAAAAAGTCCTTGAAAAGTCACAAATAGCAAAAATAACAAAACAGGCCCAAGAAGATGTATCAAATCGGAACAGCTCTGTATCTAACAAAATTTAATTCATAATTAATAGACTGTTCCCCCCAAAACATAAATACCTCTGTGCCCACATGGCTTCTCTGCTGAATTCTAACAAATATTTAATGGATAACTGATACCCATCTTAAAAATAAAACACAACCCCTCTTTCATAAAATAGAAGGTAGCACACATCTCAACTCATCCCAGAAGGCTAGGGTCACCCTGTAAGCAAAATCAGATACAGGTATGCAAAAA